TTCTTTTGTTCAACCTTGTTTAACTTCAACACCACCATTCAACACAACCAATTATTCAAGTTTTCATAAAAGCAAATGTAGTCTTCTCTATTCACTTGGTTGATTTGATGAATCGTTTTTCGTTTAGCATTATGTGGTTCAAGAAAAAAAAAAGAAAAAATAAATTATTAGATTGTATAACATTCAGCAAATTATTGATGATTTTGGAATGATTTCTATTTCCTCTGTTTTTAGAAATAAACCAACATATCCTTTAAAATACAGATAGAGGAAAATATAAGTGACAAGGATAAAGTAGGTGACAAGAAATAATGTTTTATAAAACAAAAAATTATTATTAACATTTTAATAAGTAAATTGAACCAATACTTATTGTCAATCCTTTTGCATAAAGTGTTGTACACAATGTAACGCCTATTTCTTATCACTTAATGAACAATTCACAGAAGTTTTTCGCTCTATAACAAAACCGAATAAAAAACTCGTCAACTTTAAAGAAATAAAACACGACATTAAAAATTAAAAAATAGAACGAAAACAATCAATCAGCAACAAATGAAAGAATTATCTCGTCATTTCAAAGTAAAGAGATGGTTTCCCATAATGTTGAAAGCACTTTTCACTTTTTCATTGATATATAAAGTGTATTTTGACTTGTCAAATGGTTTTAGACAACAGTATTTCCCAATCAAACAACAACGATTAAACTCACCGCCCCAACAACTACGTTAATGTCGTTAACATTGCAGACCTTGACTTTAAACAAAAAGAGATAATAAATGAGATCTTAGTCTGCCATATCAAAAAAGTGACAGATCTCATTGTGCTTGATCCATCCAACTAAGGTCTAAATAATCATATTCTTTCAGAAATAAGTAAAAAACTATGTAAAGAACAAACCCGTTATAACGAATTTGTAAGACTGTTCCCCCTTCTATCATCTCAACTAAACTCGTTGGAATTTAAGTGTACAATGGCAATTATTGGAAGAGTATTTGGCTATCTATTGTCTTTGGGTAATTTCAGTGAGTTTTGTGGATGAGGGGTTTGTAGTTCAGTGGTAAT